ATTTATCTTATTCTCTGATGCCTTATACCAGTCAAATTCATGACCTCCGGTGAACAATAGCATACGCACATGATATAAATCAATTAGCAGAGCATAAAGAAAGTTTAAAGGAAACGTTAAAATCCCTTAATGAATATCTGGAAAGAAAGAAAATGGTGTCAAGTATTGATAAAACTAAAATACTAGTGTTTGAAAAGAGTAAAATGGATTTAAAAAGAAGGTGGCACTGGAAGGATAAGTTATAAGAAGAGACCAATGAAATAAAATATTTACAATACGTTTTACGAAAGAATGGAAAAGCTGTGAAGCATATGATAGACAGATAAAAAAATAGCAGCAATTGCCATAAAAAATACATGGAGTACAGCAGAGAATCTTTAAAAATACCTATAAAATAAGATGGCTTATGTTGGGTTATAATGATCTTAAATTTTACGGTTAATGTTATAATTTATTTAAAGTTTTATTTGGCAACTAATAATAGTGTTAGTATCACCTTTGAAGTTAATATAAAAATTAATATTAAATTTTAAAAAATACATACATTTAAATACTATTTATTCGATACAATTAATAGATTGACTTTTGACAAATACCATTCTCAAACTAAGTTATTATATTTAAATTTTAAAATTAAAAAAAAATACTTCACTCGCTTGATTAACTCGGTCCTTGGATTTTCTACCTTAAAACCATCTGGGGATCTACTTGTGATATAATTCATGCAATACCACAAACACTACTTGATTGTATAATACTTGAGTCTATAACTTATGAACTAATAGTTATAAAAAAATAATTAAATTACATTCAGTTATTACGAAATGTAATGAAAACTGACCCATTCGATAAGTTAGTAATAATAGCAGAGCTCTAGTAAGTCAATCCTCGTATTGGTCAATCAATCGACTTCAGTAGAAATTAGTTGAAGGATCGAACGACAAAATGCCAGATTAAATGCTATAAAATTTGATCATTCGCTTATGTCTCCCCATTAAACTTTTTCTGAATGTTTCCTATGTACTTGGCAAATCCCTCACTAGCGTGCTTGAGAATTGTCAAGCCAAGCCTCAATTTAATCTCAGCGATCCTCTTGGCCATTCCGATAATGTCTATGCCACTTGGTTGAGGTTTCGAGGTTGTACTGATATTTTCGCGCCAATCGAGAGTCGTCTCGCCTAGGTCTATGATGTCTAGTTCTGTAGGCAGCGTGGTGGTCGTTGTTTTCACTGTTGTAGTGGACAAAGCTGCTGATTTTTCCTTGGTTTTCGTTTCTTGACTACTCAGGAATTCACTGCAAAGGGAAAAAGGTAACATTATATCAAAATATCAAGTAAGCCTACAAAAGTTATTGAAACATTTTTTAAGGTGAAAAACTGTGTACTTGATAGTCTATACTGCGTTATCTATTTGTTTGTTTATTTACTTCATGATTGAACAAAATTTTATAACAGTGAATCACAAAATTGTTGTTCTTTTTTCTGGTTGAAAAAAAAATTTTTCAATATTTCTCAAAGATACCAAAAAATGGAGCAACCAAGCAATTCAATTGTTACATTTTTACCTCGAAGTAGTAGTCTTTGTCGATGCAGTTGTGGTTATCAATGCCGGTTTTGAATGCTGGTCACTTGCAGCTGTCATGTAGCCCTTGTCTCCATGTTTTTTCTGATGTTGTTTTCCTGGGAGCGCTTCATCAATTATATCTAAAATTTCGTTGCTCAGATCCTCTTCTTGCGCTTCTTCTTTTTTTTCCTTCTCAATCTCGCTTTTTGATGGTATTACTTGGATAACTGAATTCCTTTCTTTTTCTGGAGTCTCAAATCCCGTTATCATCGGCATTAAAGAACCAGGAAGATCGGGAAGAATACCTCTCTTTTTCCGAATCGCTCTGAACAACGTTGATCTCACTTTGGACTCATCATCCAACTTTAGTGACCTCGGACCATGTTCTACAAGTGAGCCACTTGAGTTGATTTTTGCATCCTCAAGATCTCCAGTGGACTGCTCTTCTTTGGCTTTTGAAACTAAAGCCGCTGAACTTTCCACATTCTCGATAGATGAATCCGATGAAGGTGATTCTGGTTTCTTATCTTTAGTTTCATCAACTTGATACTGCAATTTTGGCTCTGCTTCATCTTGTAACTTCACTATATCCATCCTTTTGTCAACTTCGCGCGAATACTCCTTTGGTATATTACCAACGACGAATTGCCGATTGTTTCCAACTCCTGTTTTTCCAACTACCAGTCCAAAATCGGTTGGCTGCTGTTGTCGTTGTCGTTCGTAATAATTTGACGTGGTCGATACTTCCGGATATTTAAACTCGGTCTTTCGATAATTCGTTCCATGAGCGGTTGTTTCAACTGGTCTATAAATCACCCGATTTCCATTGTTTTTGATGGTCGGTCCGGGATATCTTGTCGAGGGTTGATGCGAATGTTCCGATGCTGTGTATCTGTAATAGTTGGGACTTTTTTCACCAATGCGATACTTTGTCTCATAATTTTGACCTCCTGTCATGCCTGAGTAAACTTTGGACAGAACTTCTTCTTCACTCAATCCATAATTTCCTCCGTACTCGTCAATATTGTATTTGTAATTAGGCTCAACGTTATAATTCCTTCGAGCGATTACTCCACCGAATGGATACAGAAAATATGAAGCTAGTCCAAGCCCTAGGCCCACCAATGACATAACACCTACACTTGGCATCACTTCTCGACTTATGAAATTATAAATTTGAGAACTTATTGGTTTTTCAACTTGGGTTTGTTGATTTGGTTTTTTTTTCTTCGATGGTGAAATTTTAGACTCTGGCTCGATTTTTGATTCTTGAATTCCATTAACTTGAAGATCATGAATTGTAATAGAATCACTTGATGTTTGACTTTCTTCATCAGACGGTGCATTGGTTGTTGAAGTAGTTGTCGATGTAGTAGTTGTCTTGCGACGACGATTCTTATTTTTCTTGCGTTTTCCAGGTGAACGAGGTTTTTTCGAAGTCGATGTAATTACAGGGGATGTATTGGAATCTACAGATGGTTGCGTTTGGATTTCGACTTTGGAAACCTCAGAGTCAAAATCAAACTTAACGTCTATTTTAGAATTATTCAAAATATCCTGAGCATCATCTATTTTCTGGTCAGAATTAAGATCACTTATTTTCTCAATCGTAAGTACAGGAGGATTCACACGTATAGGTTGAATCTCAATTTTCGTTGTATCATCAGTGGGCTTTTTCGAATGAACTTTTAAAACATTGTTCACTCGAGTAGGGTTAGGGACTTTTACGATTGGGGATTCCGATTGAGAAAAATTAGCTTTGGACAGAATAGTGTGGATTGATTTAGATGTTGTTGAAGTCGGGGTAGTTGATTTCTGAACATCAAACAGGGAAGCTCTGATTTTCGTTATAAACATTGGCTTATCAGTGCTTTCAGTATGATTTTGCGACGCTGTTGAAAGTGGTCTAAGAGTAACTTTTTCAATCCTCGACGTGCTTGTAACGGTATCATTACTCAAAGCTGGCCGTTTAGTCGAAAAGTTTTTCATTCTATTTGATGAGTTATTAGGTTTTGGTGACTTATTTATGGTTGAGTTCTTCGGCGTTGACAGTTTTAGCTTTGGTGTGGTACTACTTTTGTTTAAAGATTTTTTCGTTGACGATTTCGCCGTTGTCGAAACAGGTGTAGGCTGAGTGTTCTTTTTATCAGTGGTCTCAGTTTCATCGATATCATTGTCAAACGATGTGGTCAGTGTGGTAGTGCCTATTTTCACGAAATTCGTAGAGGAACTAGTACTTGTATTCTTCATAACTTTAGTAATAACGGGAAATTCAGTAGTTTTTACAGTAGTTGACTTGGGCTCAGTCTTTCGAATTGGCTTAGTACTAGTAATAGTTTGTTTTACAACACTTGCAGGTAGTTTTGTACTAGTTTTTGATACTATCGGATTGCTCTGGTCATTGGTTTTCGTTTCCGACAAATTACTGTTTTCAGTTGTCGAAGAAACCGGATACAATTGTATCCAAGTAGAAAGTAGGCTTGGCGTAGTTAACTGTTTTTTATCTGCAGTTACAGCAGTCGCCATTTCTTTTTCAATCTCTTCGTCAGTCATGGCAATAGCATGACCAGGATTGGAAATTTCAAAATGTCCAAATTTCGAATTCATTGGAATGCCGAACTTCATTTTAGTCGAATCATCTTCTTCATTGTTTTTATCATTATTTACAACGCCTTCAATTTTTGTTGAGACTTGAACAACTTGCATTGGAGTTTCCATTGTAACAATTTTTTCTTCAGGCATTGGAAATAAATCTTCACGTTTTGTAGAGTTCAAAAGCTGCGTTGCAACAGTTCGTAACGATTGGTCCATACTTTGGATGTCCTTAAGCTCACGTGGACGACTTTGCCTGTAAATCAAAAGGAAAATTGAAATTAAATGCGATTCAGCTGATTTATGTTTAATGCATGTTTCAAAATATTTATGCAATACTAGAAAATAATGTTATTATTGTCTTGTCAATACAATACTGATCATACTAAATTTAAATAAGTTTTGTATGAGAAGAAAGGATTTAAATAATAAATGACAGATTAATGGATCATATTCTGGTTNAAGAACAGATTAATATTTCATGAGGTGAAAATTTAATTCATAAGCTTTGTTATATATGAGAAATAGCTCAATTGAATCGTCGGATGATATATTTGTATAGTAACGTTGGTTGCAATGTTAGGATACGGAAAAAATACTCAATTGCTAGTAGAAAATACGTAATTTATAAATTCTAAACTCATCAGAGAATACGCAAACAAATTTTAAATACACAATGGTGTAAAAATGTTAAACTTACTATACATTTTTTACATGTATAATAATAAATATACTACATAATAAAGAGTTATGAAAATATTATACTACAATGAGCCTACATCAAAATCACATATATACTCATTAAACACAAAATGTTACATAGTTGTATTTTTCGTACAGCAGTACAACGGCCAATACAATGTGCCGCGATAGTGACAAATCGTCGTATGCTTTTGAAAATTTGGCATGTTGATGAAAATTATAAGATGTTAAGAAGAATAATATAATAAATGTGAATTATTTGGCGATACTTTTCTATGATGAATGATAATGAATATAATTACACTTATTACCGTAAATGATTAACACATCAAAATACTAATCAGTGGGTCATAATAAAATGACAGAAGAATGTGTTTTTTTCAAAAACCATGTCTACCCAATACCACCATTATGCACTTAAAAAAAAATCTCGACCTGTAGTTGCAGCTTCCTTGCCAAAAAATATGGGCACAACTGCACCATTGATTCCTTAGTGTCTTCCTCGTCATGTTTTTATTCATTTAATCTACCTTAATAATTATTTACGTAACTAGTGCGGAAAAGACGATTTCCCGCACGAGTCGTGATTGACTCGCACGGCACGAGTTACCGTCACCGGCCACGAGTAGAAAAGGTTTTTGTCGCACACCTTTTCCGCATACTGTGCGGAAAAACCTTTGCAACACACCTTTTCCACATACTATGTGGGAAAATCGATTTACCACACTAATATCAGTACGGAAAACACCTATTTTCCGCACACTATTGCGAAATAGTAGTTTTCCTACGAGTTTGAAAAGTCTCTAATTGCGAACCGAGAGGTTTGCGGCCCGAGCCGAAGGCGAGGGACGTAACGAGGTTCGTAAAGGAGACTTTTCGAACAAGTTCTGGAAAACTGCTTTTTCGCCTGAGGAAGTACCAGCCTTCCAAAACCACCCGAGGGCGGAAAAATTTTTTTCCTTGTCCTTAAAGTTTTATTTTAAGGTGTATTTTTTTTAATCACTTACTTAAAATTAATATTCTAGTTACTAGCTAACAGTAAACGAATGTATTCATTTTATTAAGAATTTATTACACATGATTATAGGTATGTTTTTTCAGAACTTATAAATCAAAATATTTAGTTTATTTTTGGATTATCGTTAGATGTAAAATTTTTTAAATCAACGATTTTATTGGTATTTTATGCACTAATTGAAAATAGAGAGTAAAGACGATTTGAACAAAAATAAATACAAATCACTAGCTGTCGAAACGTAACTAAGGAACTGCAACGTCACGAAAAATTATCAAAGAGTGAAAAACTGAAGGCAAAGGTAAAATGGCCAATGGTAAAACATCTAAAAAAAATCAAAGAGTGAAAGGCAAAGGTAAAATGGTCACGGTTCTTAAAATAGACGAATAAGAAAGGTAAAAAATGCCAACAAAAGGCGAAGCAGTGACAATGCTTAAAAATAGGAGAGAGAGAGAAAGAGAGGTAGAGTCGAGTTTTCAAGCTTTCAGATTTACGGTAAATCGAAATTCTCTCAATGCTTTTTCTCGGCTCAACTTATTTTTCGACTCTTTTTCCTCATCGCTACCGTCATTGCAGCTGCACGATATTTTGCTTTTTTATCTTGTTTGTTCGTTTCGTTTTTCAAATATTTTTTACAGACGCAGGCACTAGCTTTGTCGTAGATGACATTTTGGCTCGAATTGTTGTTTTCTCTTTGCCTCCCTTTTTTTAAACATACCTTTCAGCTTTTACATTATTTTTACAATAGAGCTCGTTGTATTTGATGTCTCGTAAGCCCACGTAACAATGGCTTTCAAAAAGAAAACGTACAATTTTTTTTTTTCAAATTTCAGTATGTATATGAACATAGAATTGTCAAAAGAATTAACAAGAATAAATCGTAATTGTAATTTTTTTCTGAACTCATCAAGAGACACTGAGTAAATATTGAAAAAATACAGGCTTTTTTTATTATTGAGATGAATCCAGCGTTTCTAAAGTATGCTACAGAAGTCCATATAAAATTCAAAGATTATGTTGGTAAAGTATGTGTAATTCATTTGCAACAGAGGCACCCTTGGAATTTCAGAAAAAAACGCTCCTAAAAATCTAATTAACACGTAGTCTTATGTCATGGTCAAGAAATTGACTGTAACTCCCAAAAGGTCATCAGTATTTCTCAGAAAGTCTTGATTTCAATGATTCAGAGCTTGAAATAAGTTTTACACTTTTATAAGATTGTCATAACGATTTGTTATTTTTCAAAACTATATTTTTTATATTCTTTGTGTAACATAATTTGTCCTTTTTCTTTATTAAAAAAGTAATTTTTTTCTCATAAGTTTTATTACATGATCTTATGGGCAGATTTTACTGATCCAGGGCTAGAAATAATTAATTTTATATGATTATAGCAGCTCAGACATATTAATGTACTTTAATATATTTTCAAGGATCTTGAAGCAATTTATTGATTATCAAAAATTGTTTACAGCAATTTGTGGTTAAAAAAATTCAAATATTCTTTTAAAAATAATTTAATATCATACAGCATAGCATAGTAACTACGTAATTATGTTGTGTTTATAATCAAAATTCTAATGTAAAAATTACCTCATACGTCTAAGACTATATGTTGTATACTAAGTTTAGGCCTAAAATAAATACACTACTTATGGAGCAATGTATTGAAAAAAAAAAAAAAAGAAAGAAAGTTATCAGTCAGTTTTAGCTTTTCGTTAAACTATAGCTTCATACAAATGTACAAAGGTGTTGAACTACAATGTCAAGTCAGAAGATCTTGAAATCGGAGGATCTCAATTATCGACTCAAATGTATTATTTCTTCACTGCAATCTGTACATAAAATTATGAAGCAAATAGTAAAAATATAGTAGTAACTATACTTGTGTTTGATTAGAAAACTAAGCGTTTTTTCTCCAATGTATAGTTTTTTTTTTTAATGTCATAGTGCTTTACGTCCGGCTCCTATAAAGGGCACTACTGAGGGCACTTAGCATTTGAGAGAAGGAAGGGAAGAAAGACAGGAGGCCTCGTATTACAGGAGGGGGGTAGGGTGAAATTAGGCAATAAGGCTACAAGGAGGTTGCCTAAATCCTCCTCGAGGAGCATTGCGTGGTGAAAAAGCACATTTGAAAAGTCACAG